CCCAGCATAAAACATACAATCATTTTAAAGGCAAATGAAGTACAATATCCAAAACTATTTAAAAAAATAGAAGCCAAGAACTAGGACACATTCCTAGAATCTCAGCTACCTGGAAGGCTGAGGCAGGAGGATTATTATTATTCTTTTTTAAATTATTTATTTTTATTTATTACATTTATTTATTGTGTGTGTGTGGCCAGCTCAGCCCACCAGGGGGCGGGGCTGGCTGGCATGTGGTGCTGGGGGATTGAACCGCGGTCCCTGTGCTTTGCCAAGCTTGTTTCAAGTAGGTGCTTTAGACCACTGAGCCATCTCTCCAGCCCCGGCAGGAGGATTATAAAGTCAAGACCAGGCTAGCTAAATTAGTGAGGCTCAAAATAAAAGATAAAAAGGCTAGCTCGGGATATAATTCAACAGTAGAAAGCCCCTGGGTTCAGTTGTCAGTGCTGATGGGAAAAAGTTGGAGAACTTACCTGATTTCAAGTGCTACTATAAAGCTACAGTCATCAAGACGGATCAGGAGATGGGCTATAAAAGAAACATTAGCAAAAGGACAGACATAGATCAATGGAACAGAACAGAGAACCTATAACTAGGAACAGCTTTTTAATTTTTTAGTCTGGTACTGGGGACTAAGCCCAAGGTCTCACGAATGCTACATACACAAGGACGATGCCATGGATCAACATCCCCATCTCCTTTTCATTCCCCCCTTGGAGACAGACTTGCTATATCGTCTAGGCCAGTGACGGTGAACCTTCTGGAGACCGAGGGCTAAACTGCAACCCCAAACCCACTTATTTACCACAAAGTGCCAACACTGCAATTAAACCCAAATACTAAAGTTTTGGTTTGGAAAAAACAATTCATACATTAACATATTTTGTCTTAAAAGAAAAACAAATACAGTAATACAAATGCCATAGTTTTACCACCACTGGTTGGGCTGGCCAGCCCACGGCGGTCTCCAACTTATAATCCTCCTGCCTCAGCCTCTTGTATAGGCACTACAGGTCCATGCCACCACACCTGTCATCAGTTGACTTTTGAAAAAAGTACTAAGGCATTCAATGGAGAGAAGATGGCCTTTTTAATAACAGGATATCCATATACAAAAGAAAAACCTTAATCTATATCTTATGCTATTCACAAAACTTAAACAAGTATTACTTAGCCATAAAGAAAGATAAAATAGAGACATTTACAGCTCAATGGATGGATCTTGAGACCATAATTGTAACATTATCTGTGTGAGAAACTGAAAATGTAAATAAAATCATAAATGTACAATGGATACTGTGAAATAGAATGAAACTGGTCAAAAGGAAGAGGGAAATAGGGAGGGGAGATGGGAAAGGAGGGAAGGGAAAGAAAAGAAGGATATGGCCAGCCAGCTCAGTGGATTAAAACATCTGTTTAGGCAGATACAGAGACTGGGTTTGATCCCCCGCATGCTGTGCCAGCCCTGCCCCTGGGGCGTACTGAGACAGCGATTGAGACTGAGTGTGGAGGCACATGCCTGTAATCCCAGCGCTTGGGAGGCTGAAACAGAATCACTAGGAGTCTGATCTCCTGTAGACTCTATACTAAATACATTTTTAAAAATTTTTTATATATATTTTTATTTTTTTTAAATACATTTTTTAAAAAAAGGATAAAATAAAAACTGAGCTTTGTGAATAGGGAGAGGAAGGGGCTTTGAAAAGAGGGCATGGGCTTCCCTGGCAAGCACAAGGGCCAGAGTTCAATCCCTGGTTCTGCCAAAAAAAAAAAAAAAAAAAAAAAAAAAGAAAGAAAGAAAGAAAGAAAGAAAGAAAGAAAGAAAGAAAAGGGCCTGGGAATGGGGCAAGGGGACAACATGTATCATGTACTGACACGCAGTCCCTACAATGGATGTAGTCATTCTGTACACATAAACTGCACCAATAAAACTTAACTTTTTTTTAACAAAATGAATCTTACAGCCTGATATGGGGGGTCCATGCCTGGACTCCCAATCCTTGGGCTCCCAAGGCAGAAGAAGCACAAAGTCAAGGTCAGCCTGGGAAATGTAGATATTGTTTCAAAATAAAAGTTTAAAAGGGCTGGGTAGTATACTTAGCTAGCACTCCTTGGGCTGAATTTCCAATACTGTTTTAAAAAATAACTCTTAGGGCTGGCCAGATAGCTTAGCAGACTAAAGTGCCTGCTTAGGCAGAGCGCAGGCCAGGGTTCAATCCCTGGCGTGCCATGCTGACCCCACCCCTGGGACACTCTGAGACAGCGACTGAGACTGGGCATGGTGGCATGCACCTGTAATCCCAGCATTTGGGCAGCTGAAAACAGGAGAATCACTACGAGTCCGATCTACGTAGTGCGACCCTGTATACCCTGTACCAAATACATAAAAAATAATAAACAATAACAAGTCTTATACCCAATTAAAAAACCTAAAGCCACAAAATGTCTAGGAATGTCTTAGTGATGTTAGACAAATATTTCTTAGATATGATCTCAAATATATCTTAGATTTGATTTATCATAAAAAAGGTAAAACAAACTTCATCAAAGTTAAGAATTTTTTGTTTGTTTTTTTGGTGGCTCAGACTGCCTGAAGGGCAGGTTTGGTAAGGCAAGTAGAGCTGGGGACCAAACTACGGTATCCTGCTCCTGACTGCCTTTGCATGGGCAGGTGCTTGAACAACTGAGCTAAGGGCAGGCTCCCAAAATTAAAAATTTTTGAAGAAAAAATAGAAACAAAGCTCTTATAAGTAAGGATAAAGACAGGAGTTGAAAGGAGGGTAAGGAAAGAGGGAACCAAGATATATCATGTACAGGTATAAATTTCCTATGATGGATGTGATCATTATATATATCTAAAATATACTAATAAATTTAATTTTTAAAACTACAAAAATAAGAATTTTAAAAGACACAGTTAATAAAATTTAAAGATAACCCATAGATCAATAGAAAATAGTTGTAAGTAATTTGTTTGATAACAAAATTCAGAAAGAAACCTCTCAATATTTAATATTATGAAAAGCAACCTTAATTTAAAATGGTTAAAAGAACAGACACTTCAACAGAAAAGACAGATTTCAAATGACCACATGAAAATATGTTCAATATCATTAGTCATTAGGGAAATACAAATTAACATTGCTATGAGATATAACTATATGTCTCTAGAATGGCCGAAGGAAAAATTCCAAATGCCTAACTGTACTAATTGTTGCCAAGGGTGTGGAGCAACTAGACCTCTTACATACAGCTGATGGGACTATAAAATAGTACAGCCCCTTAGCAAAGCTGGTTAGCAGGATCTTATGACGTTAAACATAAAATTACCATACAACACAGTTAATCCCATTTCTAGGCAGGTACCCAAGTGAAAGAAAAACCTGTTTTTCCACAAAAACTTGGCACAAATGTATTTAGAAACTTTTATTCATAATCACTAAATCTCAGAAACTAGTTCAGATGTCTTTTTTTTTTTCAGTACTGGGGATTGAACTAAGGACTTCACGCTTGCCAGGCAAGCATTTATTCTACTGAGCTATCTCCCCCGCCCCAGATGTCTTTTAATGATAAACATTTATTAAATGAAATAGTACTCGACAATGAAAAGAGACAAAGTATTAACAACGTGTATGAATCTCAAATGAGAGAAATTCTGATTCAGGAAGCTCCATACCCCGTGATTTTACTTGTATGATTTTCCATAAAAGACAAAAGCTGTTGGGACTGAAAATACATCAGTCATTGCCAGGACTGGCAGTGGATGAGGGGTTAACTACATCAAGATCGCTGGAGAGGACCTAGAGCAGTTATGAAACAAACCGCTCTGCTTATTGATTGCTGAGCTTATGTAACAGTATACACTTGTTAAAACTTATAGAACCATACACTAAAGGGTGAAATTTACTGTATATAAAATACATCTCAACATAAGAATACCACAGCGCAAACTATAAAAGGAAACAGGAAAGTGAAATCTTGCATCCACTGGGATGGCTGCTCTTTTAAAAACTAACAGATGTTGGAGAGGGTGTGAAGAAACTGGAACCCCTGTGAACTGTTGGTGGGAATATAAGACGGCACAGCCAGTGTGGAAAACAGCACAGCAACTCCTCATGGAACTAAAAATAGAACTAACATGCAGGGAGTGTAGCTCAGAGGCACAGTGCATCCTTAGCATATCTGCAGCTCTAGGTTCAGTTCCCAGCAAAGCACATGCGTGCGCTTGCACGCACGCGCACACACACACACACACACACACTTACTACATGATCCAACAATTTCACTTCAAGTACCCAAAAGAATTGAAAACAAGGTCTGGAAGAGATATTTGTATACGCTAAATTAAATAAATCATAATGCCGAGTGAAATAAATCAGACAGAGCTAAATATCACTTGGCTTCTCTTACATGAAAACCCTAATGCATAAATAATCTAAAGAGCAAACTGAAGGAAACATGGGCCAGTGAGATAGCTCAGTGATCTGAAGTGCCTGTTTAGGCAAGCTTAGGCAGCTGCAGGAGACTGTGGTCCAATTCCCGGCACCACACGCTGGGCCAGCCCTGCCTTAAGGGAGGGCTGAGCTGGCAAAAAAAAAGAAAGAGTAAAAGAGAGATGATAGAACACAGGTAGGTGGACTGTGGAGATTGGAGGGGGGCATGGGGGAGAGAAGGAAAGAGAGTAAAGATGATTAAGATGCAATATGTGTGTGTACCTATTCTCGAAAATGAGTGTAATTATTATGTATCACAAACATACCAATAAACACCCACAAAAATACATAAAAACAATCTGAATGTCCATAACCGAGAAGTATGCAAATTTCAAATGTTCTGTCCAATTCTTTGCTCAGGACACTAAGAACCTGGAAAGAATCTCTGAAAAAAAATTATGGGGTGTCCAAAGTTGGTAACAGAATGATCAAGCAAAATGAGCTTCAGAAAATTATTTCTGTGAGCCACTGCTAATGTTCAAAGCCCAGGCACTGGGGGATAAATTGCTTAAACAGATGCAGCTTCGGAAGCCACGAACCAGGTAAGGCATGCAAATAATACCAACATTCATGCCGGTGCTACATTTATTTATTCCTTACAACCATATCATCTATAGATAAAAAGAAGAGTTAGGCAAACTTAAAGAACAGTGTATGGGGGCTGGTGAGATGGCTCAGTGGTCTAAAGCACCTACTTGGAACAAGCTTAGCAAACCACAGGGACCACAGTTCAATCCCCAGCACCACATGCCAGCCCGCCCCGCCCCTGGTGGGCTGAGCTGGCCACACACACACACACACACATAATAAATAAATAAATGTAAAAAAATAAAATTAAATTAAAAAAAAAAGAACAGTGTATGAAGTAGTTGGCTAATGGAATTTATAAGAACTTGTATATAGCAGTGGTGGGGAACCTATAGTGCATGTGCTACAGCAAGCTGTCTATAGAATCGAAAGCTCTAAGAGGTTTGCCATCTCTGGTATACAGAATTTTATTATTTGTAGATTTGTATCAGTAAAATGTATAATAAGGGCTGAGAATATGGCTCAACATTAAGAGTGCTTGCCTAACATGCACAGAGCCCTGGGTTCAATCCCCAGTACCCCACACACAAATTGTAACACACATACATGTTTTGTTTCAGAGAATGAATGAAAACAAGCATACACATTGTTTTCTTTCTTTTTTCCTTTCTCTTTCATTCTTTCTTTCCTTCTTTATTTCATGTATTTGATATAGTGTCTCTCTATGCAGCTTGGACTCATGGTGATCCTCCTGTTTTCAGCCTCCTCAGTGCTGGGATTATAGGTGTGCACCACCACACCCCATCTAAGTAGCCAGTTCAGGTCGCCCAGGGGCAGGGCCAGCGCAGCATGTGGTCCCAGGGAAGGAACCCTGGACCCTGCCTTTGCCTAAGCAGGCACTTAGTCAACTGGACTATCTCATCAGCCTTCACATTGTTTTCTTTCCCCTCCATTAGAATGCAAACTACTTGAAAGAAGAATTCTACCCAATGTGGTGGTGCATGCCTGTAATCCCAGCACACCAGAGGTTGAGATAGGAGGGTCTCTACAAGTTCAATGCCAGCTAGCAGCAGGGGCTACCAAAGAGAGCAAAAGGCCGGCCCAACTGGAAGACAAGACTGTCTCAAAAAAAAAAAAAAAAAAGAATTTTATTTCATTCCAGTTCTTAGAAAAGTACCTAGCATGTAGCAGGTACACAATATGGGATTGAATACATGAGCAGTTTGGGAATCCTTGCTTTCATGAGTTGACTATTAAACCTTAGTTATGATTCCAGCCCCACTACCATCCAGCTTTAAATTATCTAGCCACTTTGAGCCTTGGCTTTCTCATTTTAAAGAGGGGATAATCCTCTTACATCACAGAGAGGCTGTGACAACGTATGCTGCTGCCTGTCACCTACTATGTGTTTTTCCACAGATGGGCCTTTCCTTCTTACCTTCCATCCCTGTCCCACACATAATCCCTGAAGACCCAGCATTGCTTCTGTCACACACTTCAGTGATGTCACAGCTCCCCTGACTGGGAGCTCCTGCACCACCATCTGATGCCCAGGCTGAGCACAGGCTAGACTGAGAGGGGCAGGGTGCACACAGTGCCAGGTCCAGTCTTGCTCCTTCAGTCTTTGAGGACTCACACCCTCAGCATGTGTCCATCAGCAAAGAAAAAGCTCGAGAACAGAATGGCTTCCAAGGTCAGACTTTGGGCTAGACCCTGGGATGAGACCCTGGAAAGGGCCTGAACAAAGAATCCATCCACACCAAGAACAGAGGCCTTCCAGCTTAGAGGCAAAGGGAGAGGGGGGAGAAGGAGGTCAGGAGGGTTGAATGATCCTCCATTCTGTCCCCAAACCAAGGTGATAAAACCCCCAGTTTTATCACTGGTCAAACCCTGCTCAGCCAAATGAGAGACATCATGAAGGCATTCGGAAGGCTTTTCCTCCTGTGCTAACCCTCTCTTTCTCTGTTCCTCTATCCCTTAGATGGAAGAGGAGAAACTGCAGGACAAGACAAAGCAGACTGTCTACAAAACAATCCAGCGGAGCCGACTTAAAATGGTGAGATGCCTTGTTTTGACTCTGGCTAAGGAGAGCAGAAGTCTCTATGTGGTGCTGCTTCTGGTTGCCAGACTCAGACACCCAGAGGGATCAGCACACGCATCCTTGAGCAATTTTTCTGGTTTCTCACTCCTGGCAGGTGTTAAGAAACTTGTCACTCTTGAAGCTACTCAAGAGCTCAAACAGTCGGATCCAAGAGCTTTATAACCTGGCCAGAAGGTGTTGGAATTCAATGCTCAGAGTTCCAAAGATCCTCCGTGCCTCCTCTGGGTGAGCTCAGCCTACCTGTGACTTTCACCATAGACCCAGCAGCTGTCATTACTGGGAACAGGCATTGTGCTAAGGAATTTAAAAACTAGACTTCATTTTCACAAAGGTTCTGTAGGTATTTATTTTACTGGTGGGGACTGAGCCCTAAGAGATAAGCAGCTTCACTCAGCTAAGTGAACTGGAAAGTGGCAGAGCAACAATTTGAAGTCATTCCAATCTGATATCAGAGCCATACCCATAACAGTGGTCATAATCATCCAATTCCAGGCCAACTACAGCCTGGGGCAATAGTACAAGGGATCATGTTTCTCCCAGCAGCCTAACCCAGAGATTTCCCTGCACAATGGCCTCTGCAGTTGGAGGATTAGTATTTCTTCCTGAGGCTGAATTTCCTCACAAATCACTTCAGAATATTAAGGAAGTTGACATTTATTAGGTACCTGCTAGGTGCTAGCTACTGTACTAAGCACCTTAGAAGTAACTGCACTTAGCTTATTCTTCACAACAATCCTGCCACGTACACAGAATATTCCGTGTGGCAGATAAAACTCTGGTTCTGTGGGTTAAATTTCTTACTGCAGTCCAGATGGTAAGAGGCAGAAGCACAATCAGAACCCCAGTTTACCTGATTTCAAGGGCTGCACTCTTAGATAGGTATGGTACCACATACCTGAAATCCTGGCACTCAGGAGACTATGGGAGAATTTGGAGTTCAAGGTGGGCATGGGCTAGTGTGGACTACATGGCAAGACACTGTCTCAAAACAAAGCAAAACCCAAGCAATTATCCTGCTTCACTGCCTCCTGATTAGCAGAAACACTTGAGTGCTCTGGGCCAGAGTGGGGGCCCAGCCAGCACTGGCCGTTGCCATCTTGAGCCCTAACCTCATTCCTTCCACACAGCCAAGATGTAACAGGGTATACTAGAACGGGGCTTTGCAAGGGTCCAATCTGTTACAGACACGCTCCTTCCAGCAAAGATAATACCTTTATTTTTCTTCTGGGGTCCTCTCTGATTTGGTACGCAATCAGAAAACAGACCCAGAAGGGTTGGGATCATGAAGCCCCATAATTTTCCTTTTTTTTTTTTTTTTTTAAAGCAATGGACCTTCTCTTGAAATATCTGTCCACAAGCCCTAACTTGGTGGTGGTTGTTGGGTGGAGAATATCTTGTCCTCATCCTCTCCCCTACTCAGGGCAAGTGTGCTATCTCCTCAGACCCTAATTTCCTTGGAACATCATCAGAAAAATCACTGGGCCATTCATCCTTTCAACTGAAGTCCAGAGAGACAGAACCCTGACCAAAAGATGGATACAATATATATTCCCAATTCCTAACCTTCCCAGCTTCTTTCTGCTTCTTCCCATTACACTCCCCGCCCCCAAGCATAGGCTTCTGGGCAGTACAGACGTTTCTTTTGAGGCTCTCTAGCTCTCCTAAGGGGCTCACTGATCTCACTGCATAGCAGCTATTTCAAGACTAGGCTTGGACCTTAGCTCTGCTTTGCTGACAGCTTTTCCTTTCCCTGACAGGGAAAACAATGTTTGCAATAAAGTAAGACCAAATAATGAAGAGCTCCAAGATGCTACATGCCTTGAGAAGAACCTGGAATCCAAGAAAATAGAGTCCACAGGGAAACCTAAGCAAGCAAGGCCTGATGAGTACAAGGAGGAGCCAAGGGCAAGGAACATGGTTGAAGATTCACCTGTTACAGTACCAAGGAAGGAAGAGCAGATGGAGCCTGACTTCTCAAGGACATCAATAGGTCATGGGCTGAAAACTGGGGCCCAGAAGAGACAGCTATTCAAGAGGGGCCCGCGAGTCGTCTTTCTGAAGACTTATAACTACAGGGCTCCCATGGGCGACATGAAGCAGCTGGATGTAAATGGCCAGTACATCTGGTTTGAGGGGCTGCCCACACGAATCCACCTCCCAGGGCCGAGGGTCCTGTGCAGAGCCTCCAAGCTACGCTGGGTCAAGCGCCGCTGTACCCGTTTCTGCTCTGCATCACTTGAGAAGCCCATGTACCATTCCTACAAGGTGGGTAGGATGATGCCACATCTAGGCCACAGTGAGATGCAGACTCTAAGCTGGCCCAGACTTGGGTTCTGGTCACAAGGCTCAGAATTCTGAGGGTTTTTTGTGTTTTTGGGGGGGAAGGGTGCACTCAGGATGCCTTCAGGGCAGGGATGCCTTCAGGGCAGGTCTGGTTTGGCTTGAGGATGAGGGGATCAAACCACAGCATCCTGAGCTTGAATGCTTTGTTTCAGCAGGCACTTAAACACCTGAGCTAGTGGGCAGGCCCCCCAATTTTTTTTTTTCAGAACAAGGGATTGAACCCAGATTTACGTTTGCCAAGGAAGCGCTTATTCTACTGAGCCGTCTCCCCAGCCCCTGAATCCTGAGCAGGCAGGGCTGCAAGGCTTCCCTTTCATGACACTGGGGGAGAGGAAGGGAGTCAGTGACCAATCAGCACAGCAGGGCAGGCTAAGCTCAGGCCACTGCAGGAGGCAAGTAGGGGCCCCAGGGGAAGGTACCAAGGCAAGGTATCTAAGTGGCTAGAGGACTCTGATGTGTCAGGACCAGTTCTCAATATCTTAAATTTAAGTAAACAGGTTCAGGAATTTCTAAATGTGAAAAGGAAAAGGGGCCAAGTTAGGCTCTGCTGCATTCCACCCTTTCTAGACCCAATCAACTCCCCATGTTTTAGTTACACTTCAAGTTAAGATTTATTCTGAACAAAAATTTACTTAGGAAAAGTGAGGGATAGAGAGCGAAAAAGGACGGGGTCAGAGAAAGAGGGAGGGAGGAAGAGAGAGACAGAGAACAATATTTCTCAAGGGCTAAATAGGCCCCAGAGTGGGAGCGATTGGTACATTCTTTAGGTTCCCCACAAACCCCAGACATCCTTGGCCCTATGTTCTCTCGCCAAACAATAGCGCCCTCTGGGGGTGATCTTAGCGCCTAACACCGAGGTCTCTGCTCACAGGTGGTGTGACCCCGAAAAACAGCCTTACAAGTGAGAGAATGGAGATCACACCAGGAGCAAAACAAAAGGAATGGGCGGGAAAATTCGAGAGACTACAAATAAAACTTCCCATATGACACTGAAGAATGCTTCTGCGGGTTGTCTGGGGTTGGTGAGCCTGGAGGAAAGAAGCCTTCCGTGGGGGTGGCTAAAGAGTACAGTACTTTGTACAACTTCCGGCTCCCCCAGTTCCCAGCCCCAGCCTCCTATGGCCTAGAACCAGAACAAATAAGCCTGCCAGCTGCACCCCACCCCCAGCATGGCTCCTAAGTGGTGCACTCTTCTATGATGTCAAACAATTGTGTACTTCTTGGGTATAAACTGCCTCATAATGGCCCTGAGGCAGTTACCAAAAAGCGTACACTAGGTGTCATACACTGGGTGTGGTAACATAGGCCTGTAATCCCAGCACTCTGATAATGGGACAGGAAGATCGCTGTAAATTCTAGGCCAGCCTGAGCCACTTCGTGAGTTTAAGGCCAGCCTAAACTATATAGTGAGACCGTGTCTTAAAAAAAAAAAAAACTGGGGCCAAAAAAAAAGCTCAGTAGGATAAGCGCTTGACTGGCAAATTCAAGGATCTGAGTTTAATCCCCGGTATTCAAAAAAAAAAAAAAAAGGGAGCTCTAGCACCCAGCTTGACTGTGGAGGAAATAGCAAAGGCAAAAACTACACCTTAAGACCAGTTCTAATGTTAACTTTTGCTCCAAAAGATGCAATAAGGCTTATTTTCAGGGGATTTTTTTTCATGAACAACAATCTACATTTATTCAAATACAATTATATCACCTTCCTCTGGAGCATCATCATAACTCTCCAAACCCTGAATTCAGCAACAGAGCTCTCTTTAAAAATGATCATTTCTTGTCCATGTAGCCTGCACGTAGTACACTTTCTCGCAGGAATTCTCCACCCAAGTCACCACCTCTTGCAGGGTGGGCTTCACAAAGTTTCCATTAACTGACGGCTTATGAGATGGAAGTGGTAAGTAAACCAGTTAAGAATGATGGTCTAAAAATTAGAGAAAAAGGAGGGCTGCAAGGAAAGCCAACATTTTGGCCCTAGCCTTCTAAGGTCATTAAGACTCAGGACATGTGAGAACTTGTACTGTAACGTCATGGAACTTGGTAGTATCCCAAATTTTCTGATCAAGGAGATTATGGGGCCAAAGAGGAAAGTGATTGATGATGTAGGGTGTGCCTAAGGAGAGTCACATGGAGAGAAAACATTCTCTCAGGCTTTCATAGAGAGCACATTAGCCAAGCAATGGCCGTGACTCATCCACATGGCTGACACTGACAAAGTTTCTACAATCTGAGGTACA